TAGCCCCAAAAACAACACCCTAAGCTCATTACCTCCATAGCTCAACATAAAGCAAGCTGGAATAAGCTCTTTAGACCATTATGGGTCCAGATCTGAAGTCTCAATATGAATAGGGTCCATATTCTCAAAATTCATTCCAATAAATGACATAAAAACCATGCATCTATGGATTCCTTCAACAAAACAGATAAAGGGGCGATATAATACCTCAAAGATGAAGTCTTTTGCTCGAAATCCCCAGATGCACACCCTTCTTGGTCTCCTCTAAGCTGGAATCACCTCCTTCTTGCAAGAATCAACCATAAAGATCAAGAAATGGCTCCTTTCCTCTCACAAACGCTCTAGATCTTTTAGGGTTTCTCTCTGGGGTTTGGTAGCCGCAAATGACAGCCCTAAGGGCCTTTAAATAGGTCCAAAAACTGGGGAATTAGGGTTTTATTAAACAGCGAGGACTCGCCGAGTCCACTCATGAACTCGCCGAGTCCGGTCATTAATCTGGATGAGAAATCGTGACCCTACTCGGCGAGTCTAAACACCAACTCGCCGAGTCCCTCCACAACTCCAAAATAAATGAATAAAATAATATACTTGGGAATCCAGATGTTACATGAATCATGTTAGTTATTATATCAATCACATGTGATTAATAACTACCAAACTATGAAATTACTACACTTTTAGCTGTTTTACCAAACAAACTACTTCAAAATGATTTCTCAAACGTTTTTACATGTTAAACTCTTTATCAAACTTGTTTGATATATTAAATATTTCAATTCAAATTCTATTATAACTATGTTTCAGATAAAGGATTTCTTATACTTTAAACTGTTTATGTCAACAAACTGCTTTTAAATTGTTTTATAAATTGACATCAAGTCATCGATTACTACTAGAAAACAACCCTTTAATGATGCGTAAACAATGACACACGCTGATAGTGGACGCGCATTGTGCGTGCCCTAAAAAATAATGTCAATTTTGCAAAACTTGAAGGATAGATGGTACGCATTTGTGCGGGCCCTAAAATTAGTGTCAGAAAAGAAAAAAAAAAAAAAAAAATGCGGAGGGCACCTTTCATAAAATGTGTGTCATCTAAGTGTGTCGCTTTATAATTTTTTAATGAAACATGCGTTTTTAAGGTGGGATTTCACCCGCCTATTGGATCCCAAAAATTGAACACCCCGCCTCTTCCAATTGGCAAGAAAAAGCCCTAAGGACTTCATTTTCATAGCAGAATTGCTCTTGCTTTCGTGATCAAAGAAGAAGATGACGAATTAATGGGGTGAAACATAGTTCCAAATATACAGAATTGATCTTGCTCTCGTAACCGCTAATATGAAAGTCAACAGTGTGCGTACAGTCTTCTTACCCCTTTTCTCCCTATGTGTATCGGGTAATTCCAAGAACTCGCAAGAAATTTGAGAGTCGCACCTCCTTCCTACACCGAAGTCTCCTCTGTTTGCTAGTAATTTCTTTACGATTCATTATGGTTTTCTCTCGATTTGAACTGGGTTTCTTGTTTCTCTCGAAGATCTCGCTTATGTACGATCTTTATATGTAACTGTCTTCTGTGCGATCTTTATAGGTTCTTAGGGTTTTAGGTTCAACAGTACGGATATGGGTTTTTATGATTCATTTGTTGATGGTATCAGTTTCTTTGATAAACAAGTGGTTATCCTTAATTTTATGTACAAAAGCTTCTGATTTGCTGAAGAATCTATCACTTGATTCGCAAGCTAAGACTATAGAAATTCCTGAGCCCACTAAGAAGGTGAGATATTTTCATCATATGGTAATCTCTGAAGTTTCTTGGTATAACTCTTTCGTTGACATTAATCTAGATTTCAGAAGCTTAGTTATGTGTTTTTTGGTTTATGATTATCTTTGCAGTCTTATGTGGATGCTGGGAATGGTCTGGTTCAACCTACTAATAGATCTATAACCCCTTTGATCCTAGATTTCATGGATCCAACAATGGCTCATTATCCAAATGGTTATGCTTCCTCTTACTACTATGGAGGTAAATTGGTTGCAATAGTATATGTTTCTAGTTCGATTTACCCATGAAGAAACTCATTTGATTCGACAGTGTCATGGACATGTTTAACATTTGCAATTGCAGGTCTAGTCATGGACTGGCTATGAAGATCCAAGATACACTTATGATGGGCTTCAATCACCTATACCATGGCTAGATAGCCCAATATACCCTGATCCCTAAACAAAAAACAACTTTGGCTAGTACCCCTTTCCTTTATGAAGTCCCTTTCCTTTAAGAAGTTGCAGGTCTAGTTAAAAGAGATGAACGTGGGTTGTTAGGTAACTTTTAACAATCATCACTCCTTGTTTGTGTTAAACTTCATATGGGACTAGAAAATTAACATGTTTTTTCATGGCAGTTTATAATAAAGGGGATTGACATTTTAAGTAGTGGTGCTCCTCAAATTATCTGGGGTTAACATGGTTGATACACAGTCAAGAAGAACCAAACTTGGTACTTTGAACATTTCTTTATCAAAAATTGTTAATTTAATATTCAAGCAAATTGCTATTAGCGAGTTTGTTGAATGTGTTTTTATGAGCAAGGAGTAGAGAAGATCTACCACTTGCTTCTGATAATTATTCGGATTATGCGGAGGGCTTATCTCATAAGAAGCAAGGGCACTCATATGATACCAATTTCAAACCTAATCTCATGGAAGATTGCCAGTCTTTTATAGATTACAAATCCAAAAATGAAGGTACATATACATTATCTAAGCCCCAACAGTATCTAATCCCCAACAGCAGCAGCAACCAAAGGAACTTGAAACTGATTTGAGCAAAGTCAATGAGGTCGAAATGGAAACATCTTAAGTAGAAGAGACCAAATCTAGAGTAGTCATGAAGGACCTTCAACGATGCTTTGTTTATTACACTATGATAGCGGAGACGACGGTGTTGTTGATAGCCCTAAACAATGGTTATCTTAAAATAAATTATCAAAGAGAAAGGTACGTATCAGTTCTAGAGTTGTTATAAAAAAATTAGGTCATCTGTACCCTTCTTTGGGCGCGAAATTGAAACATTTGTAAATCGCAATTGGTACAACAATAACTCTAATCTATCTTCGAAATTGGTGGCTCTCTTAATAGTTTATTTTCAAAACCGGGTATTAAGTCCAATGATTTGGTCTGGTGGTCGGCTACAACGTTTTGACTCCAATTGCTATCAAAATCAGATTTTCTTTCTTACTTTTCATGCGTGCCTTCATGGGAATCGGCGAGGTTAGTATCTGATTCCGATTCCTGTTTCATCATATTGAATTAAACAAAAACTGAGAAATAGAGACTTAAACGAAAGTCAAACAATTATGCTAAAAACTTGTCATGTGTGTACTTTCAATATTATTTTCATTGTGGTTCATACGTTTCATTAAACTTACAGTTTTACTGGGTTTGACCTATTTTTTTATTACATTATGTATCACTTATGCTTTTTGGTATGTGTTGCTAAGAGCTGTCACATGTTATGGGAAAGACAGACAAGAAATTTCTTTATATTTAGTTCTGGGTATGCTCTGTTTCTGTTATTCTTTTTAAATTTGAATTCTATCATTGTCATATCAGTTAGTTTTTTTTATGGGGATGCTATAAATATTTATTGAAGGTTTTGTGCATATCAGTTAACAGGAGTATGAGTATGAAAACAATCTGGCTCCTGTATCACATGATAATGTTTCTAACATTCTTTATTCATGTGTTGCAATTGTTTGTATGGGGATGCTATAAATACTTATTGCTGGAGTACACAACAGGAGTCCTTGGTACAGCTACAACATACAGGATTGTGTAATACCTCATTATTTCCTGCTGGCTGATCACTCTCATCTCTATCTTTCCTTAGAAAATACTCTGCAACCTTGCAGATCTGTGCATGCTCATGTCCCGTAACATGACATGAACACTCATTCTCCTTAATTTCTATCCATTCTTCCCATCTCTCTGTGTCTGGTTTTTGCAGTATGGATCCTATCATGCATCTTAAATACGCTCGGTTTCAACTGACCCCAACCAGAACAAGGTACTCTTATTCTTTAACTTTGTACGTTTCTATGTTAATGTTCTTTCCTTTTGTTGTGACATGAGTCATATTGAGTTGGGAGTTGGGATTTGGGATTTCTTTGTTCTTGTTGAAATGCTTAAAAAAAGTTTAGATTGTCCTTTCCATTTGGGTTGATTTCAGTTATTCCGAGTTGGGTTATCTTTCTTCTTGAAATTCTTATAAATTTAAGTTTTTTTATTTGATTTCAGTTATGCTGAATTGAATTTTATCTGGTTTGATTTCAATTATCAAAAACTTCAATCCTTTTGTCTTCACCCTGTATTCATATAATCATATTCACGAGACTTAATGTGTGTATCTCTAATTAAAAAATTGCGTATTTGGGTTCTTATGTACTCATATTACTGATTTGCGTTCTCAATGTGTGTATCTCTAATCTAAAGCATTTATCGTTAGAAATAAACTTTGTAGTTTGTATTGCTATATATACCTATATATCTGTTTATAATAATGTAGCTTAAGATTATATGTCAGAGTAGATGAAGTCTCGTAGTTTTAGCTTATCAAATAGTAAAAGACCACGTAATGCTAAATTTGTTGATGAGTGTAGGTGTTTTTTATTATTATTATTATCATATTGTAATTAAAGTGAAGATGCATTATATGGTATATAGCCACACAAATGATGTACAAGGCTTCATATCTTGACACAAAGTATATCTACCGTTATTGTTTATCTTTGATACTTTCTGCTACAATATTTGCCCATTATCACTTACAATTCAATAAAAAAAAATGGTTTTTCAGATTTTCATCATCGTTATGAGAACGGTTGCATCGTTTACTAGTTAAAAGAGTTTTGAAACCGGGTACCCAGTACCGGAACCGGTACCGGCGGTTCCTGGACCGGTTCCAAAATTTAAAGAACCGGTGTGACCGGTTCCGGTTCCAACATGTCAAGAACCCGGATCCGGTTCCAATCAAATAAGGCGGGTACCCGCCTTTGCTCACCCGTACTAACAATAGTATTTTGTCACTTTGGTTCAAAAATACAAAAAAAGAGGAAGCTAGAAATAGCTATCTTGAACAACTTTCTAGTAAGATATAGGCCAATCTACTTTTTCCCTAATAAACAACCGCCTCAATACCTCGTAAAAAATTATGTCAAAAAGATATGTGAGAAAACGACACAAACCCAATGTTGATAAATTTTTGGTGTATAATTTTCTTGATGATATGTATCAAATATCTTTTTACTAGATTAAGTCGTGTCCTCATTGACTCCATTAAGTCAAAAAAGAAACAACATCTTAGTTGCAAGAAAATGTTTATACGTGATTTATTCAGTGGTATAAAAAAAATCTAACATTTTCCTTTATGTTCAAGTGAGTAAACTTATCTATACATGTTGATGTAGTTTAATTTATGTTCTGTTTAATACTCTACTTGAATATTACAGCTTCTATACATGTTGGTGTAGTTTACTGATTTCTTGAATTTCTGTTCTGTTTAATACTCTACTTGAGTAAACTTATCTGTACGTGTTTTATACTTTTACTTTGAGATTTATGATCTCTTTAACTTAAAAATAAATGATTACTTTGTTCTTTTTTCTAAACACAGGTCTTGGTAAGAATTGTTGGACCTGATGATCATATGTATCCCGATTCTGTGGATGTGCGTGGTGTGGAATTTGGTTTGGGGATAGGATATAACTCAAAACCCAAAGCATCTCCTCCTACTGGATCACCTGTTAAGTTGCTTAGGACAAGAGTGATGCCTCAGTTGAAAAGCAGCTTTGTTGCTGCTTCAGCTTCATCCAATAATTATGGAAATCAGGGGAGCAAGAAAATGGTATTGTCTGGCTTTGTTTCTGGTGGAATCAACTTCAAGAGGATGAATATATTATGTAGACAAGTCGTTTGATGGAATCAACTTCATATGAGTAAGTTCAAATATTTCTTCTTATTCAATATTGATAAAATTTAAATCCTGCCGTTGATGATATTGAAGACATAAAGAGACAATAAAAGGCATAATAAGAAAGGAGAATTTGCATTTTATGTTTATTTGATGAACATAACATACTTCATAATATAACATACTTCATAATAAACAGACAATAAAAGGCATAATAAGAAATACTTCATTGATAATATAACATACTTCATAATAAGAAAGGAGAATTTACATTTTATGTTTATTTGATGAAGGTGATGGATGTAAACTTGATTCTGGAACTCTCAGTCTACCAATGTTAGAGTTTAATTGGGTGATAGAAGGTGATTTTGATTCTTGAAACGAGACTCAAGATATCATATTTTGCCATGGCTAGAAGCTTTGGAGGAAACGAGACTCAAGCAAAAGTAAACACCTAGGGAGTTGTTGGCACATAGTAAGCTAGATGATGCAATTGTATATAAATGAGTTCATTTTTTATAACATTTACTCACTTTTGGAATAATTATTTGTATTTGACATATTAGTGAAATAAATTATCTTTGTTATTTATTGTATTTTATTTTGTATTATGAGATTTTTAATGTATTATTTAATTTGAAAATTAGTAATTCTATAAATAATATTTTTTTTAAACATTTAAAATTATGATACGCAAAACTGTGTGTCATCTTCATTTATGACATGGCCTTTCTTGACAGGGGCTTTCTTGATACCAATTGCGTGTTATTAACATGCGCGTCGTAAGGTTACGACACGCAAATGCGTGTCGTCTTCCTTTATGACAGGGTCTTCCTTGATACGCATTGCGTGTCGTACACGCGGTTCATAATTGCGCGTCGTAAATGAGCGTCGTAAATGCGCGTCGTCTCTCTTTATGACAGGGCCTTCCTTGACGCGCATTTGCGCGTCGTCTGAGCCTTTTACGACGTGCAATGAGCGTTGTAAAAGGCTGTTTTTCTAGTATATTTATTATTAAATTCTTCAGTTGTTTTACAAAACCTCTTTTAATGCTTCTATATTGTCAAATTCATACCTTTATATGTATAGTTATGTAAGTAATTTTTAAAGGACTTAGGACTGCTAGCTCGCTTTAATTCCTTTTCCTTGTTTGGATGTGGCCTTAGGGTATCGGTTATTTGTTCGAATGTCGTCTGAATATTAGTTATATATTATGTATACATATATAGACATCAAAGTTCTATCAGTCAATCCAGTACCTTTGGGTAGCAAAGGCATACTTTCGGTTATATACGTACATTAATAGTAACTATAATAGGTATAGTTAGGATATACTACTTACTATTCCTAGTATAAGGAATCACACAAGAGTCAGTTCATTCATGAGTCTATACAAATATACTATTACATACTATACAAAGAATACTAGACAACGAATACTATAACAGAGAATACTAGACAGAGAATACTATACATAGAATACTATTTCTATAACAAGATTCAGAGATAACATAAAGTGAGATACTACTTCGTGACACATCGACCATTTTGTTATGTCTAGTTTTGTAACTAGAATCTCCTGAAGGGAGAGCTTGAGTTTGCGTATAGATCTATACTGGATTGACTATCCTACACATTTGTTATTCGCTACTGTGGGACTTACAAGTCTACGGGTGCAGTCTTGATTCATATCTATTTCCAACATATGACCGACTGTGGATAGTTTGAATAACTTAGTCATTCAGGAAGAACGACCTAGTTATTCTGGAAGTCAAAACATGCAAAGTGAAACACAAGAATAAGTGAATCCAATATGGTCTCGGAACTTATGAATATAAATAAAACACCTTTTATTTATCACCATCTTGATTACCCATTATTCATTGCATATTGTTTCAAACTATCAACTTTATACTTGAATTAAAACAATAGTTGTCCCATGCTCTACACTATGTTTTCTAAAACACTAGTCATGCCATACACCAAGTATGCACACTATGTTTATCTAAACATTAGTTATGCTATACACCGAGTATGCATACTAAGTTTGTCTATGATCTTTACTTTATGAAATAGATCGATTGAACATAATTCCAATGATTCTCATTTCACAGTCCCAAATCCTTACCGCAAATGCAAGAATTCCAAATTCCTGCCATTTGCCTAAATATGTTAGATTATAAACTTATATGCATTGATCCTCTTGTAATGATTATGCACATAGTCACCAAGACTTGTTAACATACATTACAGAGTATTCCAATGGAGATCATTCCATGGAAGCGAAGTCTCAAATTATTGCATTAAGTTTCCTAATCTTACACAGATTTGATGAATAACTTCCACCTATGGGAACATTTCCATATTCCCCTTTTGACTATTACTCCGAACAAGAGTTGCCTCTTTTCAATATATGTCAATATTGTCCTTCCAAAATTAAAATTATACTTCCAACTGTCCCTGAGCAACCAATCTTTGGTAAACCTTAGATTGTCCTTGACAATTGCTTAATTATTTTAGTCATATCCAATTCTAGACCTTTTCCCTTCTTAATGCCCCAGGCATTTGGAGAATATGGGACACGATTCATGATGTCTCACATAAAGACATGATACTAGACCAGTCCTTTTGCTACAATATTTCTATTTGCCAAGTTCTCGTAATTCAGATTATGAAAAGGGATGCAGTAATCAGAATCGAATTTTAGAACGCAAATAATGGACCCATATATAGAATTTCCTTATGTTGAGTCATTCCAACACAAAATTCATATATATCCTTGACTAAAGATGATTAAAACCTCAATCTAAGCTTTTAGAACTGAAATGAAGTATAATTTCCTCTCCCTTAATTATAGCAAAACAACTTTTCAACCCCTACAACTTCACGAATTGAAACTTTTGTTTTCTATAATTAACATTGCTATCTAGCAATACTAATAATAATTATCATTCTCCCACTAACATGATGATTATTAGCATGAAGATTATGCTCCCACTAGCTTTGACATGTACTTAGAAATCTGCTGGACTTCTAGAAGTCAATACTTTATTGACCTTCTTACCAAAGTTCATATTTCTGATACGAGATGCTTTGATAAAACTTTATCAAAATCATACACATTTCCTTAGATAGCACACATGTGTGTCTAAACAATTTCAGAACTATGAAAAGGGATGTCGTAATCATAGTCTCAATTGTTTAGACCTTTCTCGTTTCTCACAAGTCCATGTTAGTGTGTCGGTTAACCATACACGCTCCACTAACGACTTTGAGAATGCAAATATCACAATTTCTATCTACCTAAAATCTACTTAGTGAAAGTGTTTCCTCACAATCATTTTCATGAATCAGAGAGAAACCTTATGACACTTAGATTTTATGGTGTATGTGTTCCTATCCATGTGAATTTGTCAAATCCATAATCACGAGACAGGGTTAGTGACAAATCCTAATTCATATGGATTGAACTTGTGCTATCTTAACTTCTTGCCACCTGGCAGCACAAGGGCCTGCCATTGCTTCCAAGTTGTTATGCAACCAATTGAGAACTCTCATAACTCATATACAAGGCCAACTTTAACTGGAATGGGCACAGAAATAGAAATATGTAACCATGATAGGTTATAAACCTCACGTCATGTGCTAAGGTCAAACTTCAGGTTTTTATTCTTGATTAGATCTTGAAAATCTTTCAGGATCTTTAAGGCTCCCACTGCCCCCTTGACATAGAAGACTATCTTGCCAAAAATTCAAGAGATAGTGCGGATTCTTTATCAAGATAAACACTTCACATAATTAGCCTTAATTGGTCTTTGTTTTATCCAAAACATCACAACTTACCAACTTCAAATATACAAGAGTAGAAACCATTTTACTCTTACATTTGACAAGTGTTATACACCTTTCTTTAAGATACTTCACTCAACTTACAGTCTTGGAGTATGACTCTAAGATTTGTTTTGGAACGAAGTGTGACTCATCTTCTTGATTTAATCATTTCAACAATTCAAGATTCCTCCTCTTAGTCATAAGAATGCACTAAGATGTCCTTAGAGGACCAATTGTGGAATGGTTTCTTAATCATTGAGATGATCACAAGACTTGACACTAAAGTACTCTCCCATCTTTTCAGATTTGAGAAACTTTTATCCTTCTTTCTAATTTGATTCTTCTCATTCGTTCTGCCATACATCAAAACTATTCCAATGTTTCAAAATTATACTTAAACTTGTAAGTATAACCATATTTTCCAAACTTTAGTAAATCATGACGAATAGACTTATCGATCTTTTGTGGTGGACTTGATCAGTGTACAAGAATGTGTACTCGATCCCTTAGTCCTTCACTTGACTCACATATAAATGTAAACAAGGAATTAGTCTTAATTTTCCAAAGGTGAAAATTTTCATTCATCATACTATACAACTTATATGATTCCAAGTTTATATCCAACTAAAAACTTGGGTAATGAGAATCTTTCCTTATTTGGTAAATTTAAATACTACCACAAATGAAAGAATCAAATTCATGTTTCCATTATTGCTATCAATGGAATCATATAAGCAACAATTTTTCACAAATGTCATTGTAAGGATACTTAGCATAAATGGAATCAAAACTTTCCTTTTATTTTAAAGCTTTGCGGAAACACTTATCCTTATAGTGCAAAAGCATATGAAAAACTTGTTGTTATCTATTCCTAAGCAATATATCATAACTCCTAAGCAACAGCTTAAAATTCTGATCACCAAACCATGCGATCGAAATCAATCTTCGCGATCAGAATCAACATATACTTCCTTTAAGTTTCTTCACTTTTTCTTTGATTCTTCAAACATCAACATGTGACCCAGTCACATCATGTAATAAGAATCTTAGAATAGAAACTTAACAGAGTTAGATAGTGGACTTTACCTGAGGTAGAGTCAAACTTCTTTACTTGATCAACCTTATTATCTTTCAGGTAAATAGGCAGCTTCGCAAGCTATGCCCCTTCCTTTGGC